CCCAACCTTCCCCTCATCTATGGTCCTGATCATCACCTCACACACAAAGGCAAGGTTTCTCTGCAAAGTTCTGTAACTCAGGATCCTCCACGAGGCCAGGCAGAACAGAGCTGTTTTATGATTGTGGAGGTTACAAAATTAAACAGGGGCATTCTACCACCCATTCACAGGTTTCTAAAGTGATCTGGTGTAAAGACCTTTTTCTTTTCTCGTTATTAGATTTTGGGGGGTTTAAAACTACCTTTATTCATTCATTAACAGACCTCACTCCATGGTATCAACTGAAAATCTGCTACGTCACATCTAAATAAAACATCAGGGTAAATTAAAATAATCTTTAGTAGTGGGCGCCTGGGTGGCTCAGTTGGTTGGGCGACTGCCTTCGGCTCAGGTCATGATCCCAGGGTCCTGGGACCGAGCCCCGCATCGGGCTCTCTGCTCAGCAGGAAGCCTGCTTCTCCCTCTCCCACTCCCCCTGCTTGTGTTCCCTCTCTCTCTCTCTGTCAATTAAATTAAAAAAAAATCTTTAGTAAACGGAGGCAAAATACAAATTGTGACTCATATATTCTTCTGAGGGTCACTGTCATTTAAACTAACCTAAATACCTTTTCTATATGCTATAGGTTCTAGAAAGGGACCCTGAGTATCTTTGCATCTAAACTAGGAAGAAATCTAAATATGTATGGATTATTTTTCATATTTGGCCAGACTTTTACTTATTTGATGGCTCCGTGAAGGATCAATACAAATATAATTCCACACTGAACATATAGAAATGTTACTAATAAATTCTTTTTTTTTTTTAAGTAGGCTCCACGCCCAACATGGAGCCCAACATGGGGCTTGAACTCAAACCATGAGGTCAAGACCTGAGCTGAGATCAAGAGTCGGACACTTAACTGACTAAGCCACACAGGTGTCCCAACTAATAAATTCTTATGATAGATATCTTCCTAAAAATTAATCATTATCATTCTTAACATAGGGAAAAAAGTAAAATGAATATAAATCAAAGTTTCCATTGGTCGTAACTCACAGTGACTTTAGTTGTATGAAGAGTTCATTCATTCTTTCACCTACAGGAATAGTCTGCTCAATTATTTGCACCACTGAGGGGGAAAAAGATATAGGGGAGTGCATTCTAAGTGATGTGTATTTTGACTGCAAGTCCATTCATTATAGGATAGTTTTGCAGCCCTCTTTATTAGATTTTAGGTTTTATTTATTTATTATTTTAAAAAGATTTTATTTATTTATTCGACAGAGACAGAGAGAGCACAACACAAGCAGGCACAGGCAGAAGGAGAGGGAGAAGCAGGCTCCCCGCCGAGCAGGGAGACCGACTTGGGCTCGATCCCAGGACCCTGGGATCATGACCAGAGCCAAAAGCAGATGCTTAACCGACTGAGCCACCCAGGTGCCCCAGATTTTAAGTTTTATTTTTAACTACAAAAGTAAAACCTGCAAGAAACAAACACCACAAAGGAAGGAGACAAAGCCCTGCCCCCATTCTTATGTCCATACACATTTCTCCCCCAAAATGATATTAATACTATGACAAACATTTTCTTCTCCTTTTTATAAATTAGTACTGGTTATGCATTATTTCAGAACATTGATCTTACCATAATAATTTCCCAAAACATCCCATTGTTGAATGCTTTGTTAGTCTCCAATCATTTATTAAAATAGGTAACACTGGAATAAACATTCAGGAACATACCTTTTTGTTCTGGTTAAAATGATCTCTCTATGATAAATTCCCCAAAGTGTGATGCAAAATATTGTTATTTTTATGAATGTCTTGTTTTCTTAACTTGATTACAAGCTTCTTGAAAATAAGAAGTCTTTGAAACTATTGTGGGCAGACCCTAGGGAAGTCCCCTCCCTATAGGTGTGGGCAGGACCTGTGACTTGCTTCTAATCAATGGAATGGTGGAAAGGTGATTAGATGTACATGATTAGTGGACAAGATTACATTACATGAATCTTACAGCTGCTAGGAAATTCTACTCCCAACAACCTGAAGGAGTTTGGAAGTGGATTCTTCCCTGGTCAAGCCTCTGATGAGAACTCGTCCCTGGCTGACACCTTGATTACAACTTTCAAGACCCTAGGCAGGGGTTCCAGATAAGCCATGCCCGGACTCTTGACCCACAAAAACTGTGAGATAATAAATGTGCTTTGGTTAAGCTGCTAAGCAGTTTGCAGTATTTGTTACACAGCAATAGAAAACAAATGTGTCCCCTAACATCCAGAATATTGCCTTATAATGAGAAAGCTCAGTGATTTTGTGATGATTTTGACAATCTAAAATTTCACCCCTTATTCCATATGATCACCACTCTGATTAAACACATAATGTTGTAAGAATTCCTGAGGTGCTTAAGCATGAGGCACTTTTAAAAATCAACAGATCCATACTCTCCAAAAAAAACACAAGGGACCATATTCTGCTTTGTTTTATGCTTCTAGTCTAGCTACATCTTTCATTTGAGTATGGAAGCTGTAAAAACAGTCACAGCTTCAAAGTATTTTAGATGACATTAGCTTTTAACTTTTTATTTACTTTTTTTATTCTCTTATTTTAACATTTTGTTTATTCAAAAAAAATTTTTAAATACCATTTTAATTCCATCAGAAGGCTTTAAAGGCAAAGGAAGAGACTCAAGCATCTACCCTGTTTTTTCCATACTAACTATACATCCAGGTAGCCAAACAGTAGATGAAGGGAAGTGTCTCTTATAAATGTAACCAACTAACAGAAAGGAAATGACAGATTTAGAATACCACCACACTGCAGCCACTATTAAATGAATGGATATGGCCACTGATCATTGACAGTTGCTAGCATCATAGAACAATGACTAGACACCATGTGCGTCCTTGATGAAAGAACTTCCTAACTCCCTACCTTCAACTAGCAATTTACAAGGAATATGAGGACAGAAAAATATGTAAAATACCACAGGCTTGCGATCAGTAAAATCAAAGTTCTAGAAAACACTACAGGACAAACAACCTGATTTCTCAGTTTTCTTCACAGACAAATTACAAAGTTAAAGAGAAGAAAGGGAACCTATAGACAAAAGACTTAAGAGATATGTCAACTAATCACAACCATGTGTGCACCTTATTTTTTTTTTTTTTAAAGATTTTACTTATTTCAGAGAGAGAGGGTGAGAGAGAACACAAGCCGGGGGGAAGGACAGAGGGAGAGGGAGAAGCAGACTCCCCACTGAGCAGGGAGCCCGATGCGGGGCTGGATCCCAGGACCCGGGGATCATGACCTGAGCTGAAGGCAGATGCTTAACCCACTGAGCCACCCAGGTGCCCCTACTAATCCTGTTTTTACTGCCATTTTACAGCTGAGGATACGGAGGCTCAGCGATGTTAACTAGATTGCTCAGGGTCACACAACTTGGCAGAACTATAACCTGACATTAAAGCCCAAAGCCTTGAATCAAAGGGCTCTGGCAGTCACCCAGAGGCCCCCCAGATTGGCAGTCATCGTGGCCCCGGGCCCGGCAGCACCGTCGGTTTCCAGCTGGATGGGTGAGAAAAAAGACAATTCTGGCTAAGTTCTTGGAGGCAAAGTTAGAAATTTTTGTTCTTTGTTGCCATTGTTTCTCTCATGGAATACGGTGTTTCTCTAAAAACCTCTGGGCTTGCTGGCCAAACCATGTGATTTAACGATACGAAAAGGGAATTTTTAGCTGATTCCTCTTTAGGGCCTACTTTTGTCTGTCCCGTGACAATGGCCTTGCGGATGCACAGGTGCAAACACGTATAACAGAAAGGGGCTCCTGCCATCCGGGGTCCCGAGAGGTGGCTACCGCAACAGGGACGAGGCAGGCCCACCAGGCCAGCCCCTCGGCTGCTGAGATTCTCTCCTGGAGGAAAGTGATGCTCCCCATGAGACACCAAAAGGGCAAAATTCCTCTTGAGAATGTATCACGATATAAAGCACCGTTACCAGTGTCCTAAAACCAGGGTTGTCTTTGAATCACTGTGAGGCAGGAGGCAAGGGAGGCTCGGGGGGCAAGCTGATCAAAGTCAAGTCATTTTGGATTTAGGCTGACCCTTAACCTAAAAGTCAGCAGGTCATAAAAAGAGTCATAAGACCCCTCTCCCTCTGGCAGTAAAAGCCACAAAGTTTGGACACTTACCACTGCTCCCCGTGGGTAGTTCTGCAACCTAAGCCATGGAAAAACTGCCCGATGGAAATGCTAAACCCGAAGTTAAAGAGTAAGCCCCTCCCTGTACAGCTAGCTAATTTTTAAAAACGCATAAAACCCCTTGTTGGAGGCAAAACAGCGGTGGCGGGCAGGGGTGGGGTCCACTTCCCCATACTCTGTAAAGTAGCTCCTTTCTTACTTCTACACTTAATCTTTGTCCCTTTCTATAAATGGCTTGCTCTTGAATTCTTTCTCGTGCAAAGCCAAGAACTCTTTTGGTGAGGGGCCTCAACCCATCAGACCTCAACTGCTCCCCTTCTCCTGGGCCAGGGAGAGCAGGAATATGGCTGTGCTCAAGGCTACTCTGTATTTACTTCCTTTGCTAATTATTTATATTTGCACCTCTCAAGATTCTCAGTATTGGAACGTCAAACTTCCCGTCTGATCATGATGAGAACTCAAGTTTGAGCTCAGTAATGTCTAGCGGAAACTGTTAAGGTAACGTGTCCCTTTCCTGTCCCCACGGCACCCTCCCCTGCAGCACGTCCCCGCAGCGTGCTATGAGGGGGGGCTGCCCCTGCCCCGGGCACAGAGCGGCCCCCCTGGCGCCTCAGAGCAGGCTCAGCAGCTGGGCATCTCTGCGGCCTCGTGTGCAGCTGTCCGAGGCTGGAAGACAGCAATCAGTAAATGCTGCTTTTCTCAGAGGTGGGGTAGGGTGGCTCGATTTCAGAATCCAAGATTTTACCCTAAAAATGAACTAGTCTAATGAAGCGTTTGTCCCTATTTTTCTAATGGAAACGGCATAAGGAAACAAAACCAAAAACACATTCAGTATTTTTATTTGTTTAGCGGACAAGGGACATGTCTCCCACCCTTTCCTTTAAGTTAGTGTGACAATTTTCCATAATAAACTACTTAAAGAGAAGCTTTGGTCAAGAATGGAATGAAATAGCAAAAACAAAAAAACAGAAAAACCCAAATCACGGCTGCTTTTAAAAAACCAACACTGTCATCACCAGTTATATTCAAACAAAAACACACAAACGGTATTTGCGCGAAACGTGTCTTCAGTGTCTCCTTGCGGCTGGCTCTCCTCACCACCATGCACACGGCGGGGCTGCGTCAGCGCATTTGTCAGTCTGTGAGTCTGTCTGTTTGTCACGCTGGATCTGGGAGGCTCACTCAGCTTCACATTATCCGGAGGCCCTGGATGGAAGACTCTAAGGTCTTGAAAACGGCAGGAAGAACACTGCGTTACTGAGGACGTCATGGCGTCTTCCCCCAGCCCCCTGCACCACACGGCTGCCCCCTCCCCCCCGCTGCCTGATGTGCAAGCCCCGTACCCCCCAAATCTGGCTTAGCCCAGCTCTGACACCCGCTCTCCCAGGCCTGGGCCCCCTGCTGGCCCTTCCAAGCCCTGCGCTCCCCTGTCGCCATGGCTCTGCGCCACAGGATCTGGGCCAGCCGCACTTACTGGTGAGGGCTGCCTGCGTGCATGTCCCGTGCCTCTCGCCACACCCGAGAGGCCCTCACGGCGGGCACCCCGTTTTCACAGGCCACACAGTGGCGGGCCTGGGGCACAACACAGAGCAGGTGCTCAAAGGCGGACGGACCACAGGAAACTGCCCTGCGACCTCCTAGCGTACAGCATACACAGGAGAGGGAAGGCTGTGGCCCGAGGGATCGGAGAATAAAGTGCAGAGTGTAACTGAGCAGGGAGCTAATTTCATGGGGGCCGCAATGCCCAGGATGGAAAGCACGGGAAGGTAAAAAGGGTGGGGGGTGGGGAGGGGACTTTTAGAGGAAGACAGTTTGCTTCTCCAGAGTATTCTGAAGGCTTTTTTCCATATTACGTATTTCACCCAAGGAGGGGGAAAAAAAATCAAACATCATGGAAATGCACGGGCAGGAGCAAAATTCTGTAAACATCTACCTGTTTCGGGGGTAACAACCAGGAGAAATTAAATTCACAGGGCTGCCTCTTACCCCTGCTGCTCCCCTCTGGTTCCTTATCTCACCCACCATCCACCCAATCCCCAAGCTAGTGTGTGCAGAGTCCCGCTGCATTTGCTCCTCATGATGCCCCTCCACTTGACCTCCTGAATCTCCTCCCAGTCCAGAAACTTGGGGCCACACCCCTGCCAGCACTGGAGGTCACCTCCTCCTCACTTGTTCGCCGGGCTCAACAGCCTCTGCCCAGAGCCCACGGCTGTCCACGTCTTACAGCCTGGTGCTTCTCTATTCAGCTCTGGAGCAGGTCCTAGCTATCCGCACACAAAGCCCAGCGCCTCTCCCTGACCACGCCGTGGCCCGCTTCCTAGTGGAACTAGGAAGGACCCACACCATAGCCCAAACCGCTGGCGGCGCTCCGAGCTCGGCCGGTCCGCATCTGCTGCTCTCGTGACTCAGACGGCTCGCCCCCACCTGCGCGTGCACCCAAAATCCCACTGCATCTGGAGATGCAGCTCAGGCGCATCTCTTCCCTGCAGTGCTGGCAATCTTCCCCCCCCCCCCCCCCGCCCAATTCCTCTGTAGAAACAGAGGCACTGGCCTCTCTTCTGGAGCTCCACGGAACACCGCCACTCTCTACCAGACAAGCCGCTTGAGGGCTCTTTCACCTCAATATCCTCGGGGCCCAGTACCAGGCCTGGCACCCAACAGGCATTTCGTGAATGTTTATTAGACTGATTCGTGTAAACCATGGAAATAGATCTAGGTCGTCGAACAGTCTGGTGGCTCAACACAGGGCCTGCTACAAAAATGCCACTTAAGGTTCCCTCCGCCAAGTGGACATCTAGATCGGTGTATCCCACCTCACTGTGAAAGTCTGCTTTTCTCCTCATGGCTTTCAGGTTTTAATTTTTTTTTAAGTAAGCTGTACACCCAATGTGGGGCTTGAACTCACGACCCCGAGATCAACAGTCGCATGCTCTGCCGACTCAGCCAGCCAGGGGCCCGGACTTCCAGGTTTTCAAGACAACTACAAGCTAATGTTCTCCATTTCTGATGTGCACTGGATCTGATGTTTTGTTCCAAGAAACGAGAAACATTCTTGTCACAGAAAGAGTTTTAATGCAAACGTTTCTTCTGAAAAGTAGAAAATACCTTGAAATCCCAAATCGTCATGGCTCCATCGATGCCAGTAGTGCAAAATTTGCGACAATCTTGCTTGTCCACCTCAAAAATAGACACCTGACTGAAAGAAAGCAAAAACGAGAGACTGTCAAGAATGTGGTGGGAGCGGGCCCCAACCTTCCTGATAGTGTAAGGGCGTTTGAAGGCAACAAATTCCCAGTTCCTAAATATGAGGTTGTCCATCAACATTAGACTGCAGCAATCGGACACAGAAAATATTCAAATGCATCTTACTACCGGATGTCCAGAAAAGCCAAGGCTGGAAAGGCAGGAAGCTGCAGTCGTTACTGTGACGTCAAGAGGCAGGACAAGCCAGGCCACGCAGCACGCAGACTGCCCGGGAGCAGAGTGTGGGCAGGACCACAGCAGTGACGAAAATGGAAACAATTAAAAACAAAAACTAGAGGCAGGATGAAGCACGACTGAAATCCAACTGGCTCCAAACAAAAACTCCCGAATCGCCTTCCAAGACAAGCAGGGCCTGCAAGTCAAGAGCCTGCCCTGCATTTGAAGTGAATCATTGTAAATGTGAGCAACACTCAGACACACAAGGTTCCAAGCAAGCAACGCAGAGGAATGGATGAATGAAACAACCTGTCTTAGCCTAATTATCCGAAAAACTTTCAAGAAAATTCCATAGCTCAGACAGTAATTTTTCTTTCTCCTCTGAAATGTCTAGAACATTCCCTCTAGGGAAGGAGATGGCAAAACTACGGCACACGTAGCCCGTTAACCAAGAACAGCTTTAATGACTTCAAGTGGTCACCAAAAAAAGGTATAAAAGAATTAAGACTATTATGTTGTGATGAGGAAATTCAAATTGCAGTGTCCGTCAAGTTTTACTGAAACACATCCACGCGCACATACATACGTACCACCATTGGGTGCGTGGCCGCCATCACAGATATGAGCAGGCGTGACAGAGACCGGCTACCTCCTCAGCCTGAAGTATTTGCTCTCTGGTCCCTTACAGGGGAAGTGTGCCGACCCTTTGCTTAAGGGCAAAGAGGACTCAATAGCGGCAAATAAAAGCAAACGTGCCCATCTGCAAGGGTCTTTTTTTAACGCAACGAGAGCTGTTACCCTCCTGATACACGGTCTGCAGAGAAGCTTCCGAGAAATCCACAAGAAATAGTTTTGAAAGTCATTCAAGACAAATGAGAAGCACAGGGAAGACCTGCTCTGCCTTCAAGCTGCGACTGTCCAGCAGAGCACAGACATTTCGGCCGATTTTAAACCCAGCGGCCCTTTCCACCGAACATGATGACAAGCACAACCTGCATTTAATAGTTCTCCCAAAGAGAAAGTCGAGAGGTTTCCATTCTTGTTCCCACCATCATCAGCACAATGCAAATCTCTCAACACAAAAGGTCTAGTCAAAAAGAGAAAATGTTATGGTACCTAACTCTGACCACAATCACTGAAAGTATCAAGAACAGACTACATTTCTCCTCTAGATTTAGAAAAAACCAAGCTGTCTGGTTAAAACACAGTTCACAAATGCCTGATGAAAACCTGAAGTCAAGAAACTCCTTGGTTTTGCCTGAGGTCATCAAAGAATTCCGTTTCTTTAGTTAAGTGATCTTCTTACTGGTATACATCACTTGAAATCCATGGTTGAAATGACAGCTAGAATTACCTTTTCTTTTTTTTTTTTTTTAAAGATTTTATTTATTTATTCATGAGAGAGAGAGAGAGGCAGAGGCAGAGGGAGAAGCAGGCTCCCCGCAGAGCGGGGAGCCCAATGTGGGACTCAATCCCAGGACCCTGGGATCATGACCTGAGCCGAAGGTAGACGCTTAACCGACTGAGCCACCCAGGCGTCCCTAGAATTACCTTTTCAACCAGGGTATAACTAGTCTTCCCGTCACATGTTCACTACCAGAGGACCATAACGTTCAGGAAGGTCTCCTTCTGTTCTCAGTCAGGGTTTGAGAAAGCAAGCCCCAGGAAGAGGCCACCCTGGCAGGCACAGCTCACGTCTGCCGTAGGATCAGCGCTCCTCACAGGGGATGCTGCGTACCAGCCGCACCTCGAAGGACAGAATGCCTAGGTGGGGGCGGCTCACTCTGTCGCAAGCTGAAAATAAGAGCCCGTAGTCGGGAAGCTACAGACTTCTCTCTGCTCCTGTTCCTAAAGGGATGTCTGGGCACACAGTACACGCAACTTGCAAAGGGACCCAGTCAGGAAACAAGGAGAGGAAGAAAGGCATCGTCGTCACCCAACACTTCTCCAGCGATGGGTCAGGGCCCTGGCTACAGGTGGCTTCCCGGGGGCCCCAGGTAGCTGGGGGGCACGTACGTGATGCTATTCTGGTGCAGCGTCTCCAGGGCTGTGTTGCGGTCCTCAGTCGTGGCCCTCTTGTCCATGTTGCGGAAGCGCTCCATGGCAGACATGTTGCGCTGGATGCTCTGTTTGGGAATGTCTAGTTTGGAGACGAAGGTCAAGCAGCCACGGTCATCATAGTTGAAGAGCATCGGGCAGCAGTCATGGCCCTGAAATAAGAGCTCAGTCAGGCGCCGAGGGTGTGCCACCCACCCACCGACCCCTCCGCAGAACGCCCAACCACGGGCATCTCTTCGTCTTCAAGGCTCGCTATTCTTTTTTTTTTTTTTTAAGATTTTATTTATTTGAGAGAGAGAATGAGAGAGAGAGAGCATGAGAGGGGGGAGGGTCAGAGGGAGAAGCAGACTCCCTGCC